CTTGATGTACCACCTTCTTACATAGTCAAGTTTGTAGATGATACAAAATAAGACAACTAACAAAACTGTAGAAACTGCAAAGGGAATTCAAGTAGATTTAGAATTCAAGACTGGGCAAACAGCAGAGTATTTTGTGTAGTGTTACATGCATGAAAAACATAGAATATACTGTAAAATGGGAAACGTTGATCTTGAAAACCCCCTGAAAAAGATTTATGTGTTTATATTGACTACATAGAGTTAGGATCTCAATTTTATGTCTCATCCAAAGGTTGAGTATAGAGTCCACATCACTATACTGGGGCATTAGGACCCACACAGACCACAGGGTGAGCACTCCCTACTGGTCCCACTGACACCTCTTCCAGCAGCAACCTTAGTTTTTCCCAGGAGGTCTCACATCCAGGTACTGATCAGGCTCATAGTTACTGAGCTTCAGTGGGTTACCAGTTGTGAGCTGTAGAGTGATATAGCTTATATTCATTCTTGTAAGATGTAAGATATTTCATTGCATGTATATAAGGTCCATAAAACTCCATGGTATTTAATTACCAAGATGCATTTGATAATATTGACTCAACTTACTGTAAGACATGATAAAATAAAATTAAAAAAACAATGGGTAGAAACTGAACTATTTATATAGCCGTTGGTGGGACCTGAGAGACAGAGAATGAAATGGTAACTTCTGCTCTGCTTAAACATAATGAAAAAAAAAACATTTATCACAGAGAACACAGCACAAAAACACCCAGGAGAGATAGTTCAGGGAAAGGAGACAGAAAGAAGCACCAGGTGTTTGGACCTTGTTCTGTGCAGACAATTTTCCTAACAGTTTTATAGCTCTATATTGTACATTCTTTTAACTTTTAGTCAGTTTCCGTAGCTAGTTGAGAGAGTGAGAAGCTGTAGTTGATAAAAACGTGTGTTAAACAGTGGTGCAAGAGAAACTTGGTGAACTTCTTGTCACCATGTCAACAGAGCATGAAATAGCTGGAAAACTGAATATAAAAGATCTAGTGACTCAATATTCAAAACGCAAGGCAAGAAAAATCCTGTTTTAGGAGCACAGAGTGTTTCTTATTTTGTATTTTGTAAATACAGGTTAAAGTTCATTGGGGAATTTTCTTAGTTGTTTCTAGATTGGGTGTGGTGGTAGTAGCAGTTAAAGCAAGATAATGAATGAATTTTGGATTTGTAATAAAAAATATAATTAACATTCTCAATTGTATGTTTTATTTGAATTTGGACTGAATTAAAATATTATCCATCTGTTGTGTACAAAGCAAATAATTAAACCTTGTTTTTTAAACTAAAGCTTAAAAAATAGAGAAAAATGGGTCAAATGTTTTACCAACCATTTAGCTTGCCAGAAAGAGATTGGGGGTGTTGGTGCTAATTCAATGGGTGCCAGTTGCCCACAACTTTGACAGCTATGACAACCCACCCTGACGGGTCTTGTTTCACAGCTAAGCAGGTGGTAACCCATTGGCTTGACTTTCCCATTACCTTTCAGGATGTTGAATATTTGTATCAAATCCCTTCATATTCTCATATTC